GGGGGGTTATAACATGACAAATGAGCTCCAACAAGTGTGCAATGGGTTACATAGTTACATACATAGTATTTGAGGTTGAATAAAGACATAAGTCCATCAAGTCCAACCTATTGCGTTGTCTCAAGTGAAAGTAGAGAAGGGAGTTAATCAAAACTGGAGCAGAGCAAAGAATGTGGAGCGGTTGCCCATGGCAACCAATCAGCTTCTCTCTTTAGTTTATTCAGATAAGATTTGAAAATAAAGGAGAAGCTGATTGGTTGCAATGCAAAGCTACTCCAGATTTTGCCTGCTCCAGTTCTGATAAATTCCCCTCTATGTCTTTGTTCTCTCCTCCCCCCCTCCCCAAACGGAGACACCTCATCGTTTTACTGACGGGGTCACTTTAAAAGCTGCGGAGCTATATTTTTGTTAATTTATGTCTGAGCCGAATAAAGTTAGATGAGAAAAACAAATCAGAAAAGAAAAACTGTGATTAGAGCGCAGGTGCAAAATGGGCGTTTATGATTGGCCAGTGATAGTACGGCGCGTACAGGCCTGCGTCGTGCTGGGTGTAGTGGGCGGGGTTTACGTTTACCTGCGTGATAACCCTTGTGAGATGTTGGGTGTAGAAGGCGGAGTTTTAGTGTGGGAGGGGCGGAAGTGACGTTACAGCAGTCTACCCGCATTGGAGATCCCAGCCTGGGGTCAGGTGAAGTGCCTTTGCCTGTTATGAGGGTCACACATTAGAGCGACTCCTCACAGTGCCCGGGCATTATGGTGAGTCCGGAGGTTGGGGGACAGCGCTAAGAGGTGTCACGTGTTATCTGAACAATAGCTTATGTCATGGTATTGCCTAGCAACCTTTACCTATTAAAATGCATGTAAAGCAGCAGGGAAATGTGAATGTTGAAACCCAGATCAGATTGTTGCTTTTCCTGTCTGTGACCGGATGGGAGATATTTCACTTCCTGTTATGGAGACAACAGGAGGAAGTCCTCACTGAGACAGTTGCCACCAGAGTAGGTGTCCCCATTGGAAGACTTCCCCTCACAAAAAGTCCTTTTTGTGTCTCTTCCCTCCCCACATAACAAATTGCTACCTTAAGTAATAAAGAGGAAATGTAAACATGGCTCTGCTCCATAGGGGGGTGTTCGGGGGGGGGGGTTAATCAGTCCATTCAGATGAAATAATGATTATTATATATGAGGAGTCACTTTGTTTCTGTGTCATATGTAACCTCCGATCATTTCCTGTTCTGACGGACCGTTCTTTGTGCTCTTCTCTTCCAGGCGACTACTATGATGGCGGCCGGGCTGGCCCTCGCTGTCGTTGGGGTTGCCGGTGAGTGTTGCTATGTCTCCCAAATCGCCCCCCCTGGCGCGTTCAGGTGATGTAATAGAGCAGGAGACGCAAACTCCGGCCCTCCCAGCTGTGGTGGAAACTACAAGTCCCATGAGGCATTGCAAGACTCCGACAGCCACATGCAGAGTGATCACATGACAGATGAATTCACGTTCAAAATTGCATTTGCAGCCCACCATGAGGGAAAAGTGGAGGCGGTGCTGTGTGTGTTCTGACCTCTTCTACGCATGGCCGTTCTGCTGCCAGCCTACCCCATGGATCACTTACCTGGCGGTGCTGCAAAGCCCAACTCCGGGCAAAACGCAATCCTTTGTACATCGCGGAGGGGGGCCACAATGTATAATCTTACCCTGGCAGCACACCGACTCCCATACCTGACGCCGAGCTTCCGGAGGGCGAGGGATGGGCCCCGACCGGTCATGTGCTCCGGTCGCATCCTGGCCCCTGTGATGGGAGGAGAGAGAGGATGTCACATCCCCGCCCCCTTTTCTCCTCCTCCAAAGAATACAAGGTGTCCTGTGATTGGAGGAGAGATGATGTCACATCCCCGCCCCCTCCTCCTCCAAAGAATACAAGGTGTCCTGTGATTGGAGGAGAGATTATCACATCCCCGCCCCCTTCTCTCCTCCAAAAAATACAAGGTGTCCTGTGATGGGAGGAGAGATGATGTCACATCCCCGCCCCCTTCTCGCCAAAGAATACAAGGTGTCCTGTAATGGGAGGAGAGATGATGTCACATCCCCGCCCCCTTCTCGCCAAAGAATACAAGGTGTCCTGTAATGGGAGGAGAGATGATGTCACATCCCCGCCCCCTTCTCGCCAAAGAATACAAGGTGTCCTGTAATGGGAGGAGAGATGATGTCACATCCCCGCCCCCTTCTCGCCAAAGAATACAAGGTGTCCTGTAATGGGAGGAGAGATGATGTCACATCCCCGCCCCCTTCTCGCCAAAGAATACAAGGTGTCCTGTAATGGGAGGAGAGATGATGTCACATCCCCGCCCCCTTCTCGCCAAAGAATACAAGGTGTCCTGTAATGGGAGGAGAGATGATGTCACATCCCCGCCCCCTTCTCGCCAAAGAATACAAGGTGTCCTGTAATGGGAGGAGAGATGATGTCACATCCCCGCCCCCTTCTCGCCAAAGAATACAAGGTGTCCTGTAATGGGAGGAGAGATGATGTCACATCCCCGCCCCCTTCTCGCCAAAGAATACAAGGTGTCCTGTAATGGGAGGAGAGATGATGTCACATCCCCGCCCCCTTCTCGCCAAAGAATACAAGGTGTCCTGTAATGGGAGGAGAGATGATGTCACATCCCCGCCCCCTTCTCGCCAAAGAATACAAGGTGTCCTGTAATGGGAGGAGAGATGATGTCACATCCCCGCCCCCTTCTCGCCAAAGAATACAAGGTGTCCTGTAATGGGAGGAGAGATGATGTCACATCCCCGCCCCCTTCTCGCCAAAGAATACAAGGTGTCCTGTAATGGGAGGAGAGATGATGTCACATCCCCGCCCCCTTCTCGCCAAAGAATACAAGGTGTCCTGTAATGGGAGGAGAGATGATGTCACATCCCCGCCCCCTTCTCGCCAAAGAATACAAGGTGTCCTGTAATGGGAGGAGAGATGATGTCACATCCCCGCCCCCTTCTCGCCAAAGAATACAAGGTGTCCTGTAATGGGAGGAGAGATGATGTCACATCCCCGCCCCCTTCTCGCCAAAGAATACAAGGTGTCCTGTAATGGGAGGAGAGATGATGTCACATCCCCGCCCCCTTCTCTCCTCCAAAGAATACAAGGTGTCCTGTGATGGGTCGGAGAGATGATGTCACATCCCCGCCCCCTTCTCGCCAAAGAATACAAGGTGTCCTGTGATGGGAGGAGAGATGATGTCACATCCCCGCCCTCTTCTCTCCTCCTATCACAGGACACCTGTTATTCTTTGAGAAGAAGGCATTATGTGAATGGGTGGGGAGGGGTAAAAGGGGACGGTACCTCTTCCTAGATCCTGTGATGTCATCACCGGGTCTGTGTGCTGCTCTTTGCTCCAAGTTTGGTTGGGGGGGAGTGGCCGGCGGGCTCCTGTAAATGACAAGAATTATATAAAGAACTCCCCGCCCCCCCGATCTCCTTAGATCCCTTCTCCCTCCTGCTGGGTGCTGCAGACTTGAGCAGTCCAGGCTAGTGATTGGTTGCAGGCACGTCTATAGGGATGCCGGGGATGTGTTCTTTCACCTAAAGCTCGGGAATAGAATGATGGACGGCAGAGAAAGCCAATAGCTGTGAGAGGCGGGCCGGCCAATGACCGTATTGATCAGAAGGAGAGGGGATTAGATGATGATTGAAGATGTTCAGACAGGAAATGACGGTGGGCTCCAGGCAGCTGTTGCAGCTTCAATGGGGTTACTGGAGATGGAGCTTTACAGGGAATTGAGTGTTCAGTGTAGACCCAGGAGAGGAATCGCTACAAGTGCGGGGGAGATAAAAGGTGACGCTGGAGTCCGGCTTTAGTCCTACAATAAAAAAAAAAAACACTCGTTCTGTAGTGATCGGGGACATGAGACCGTTTGACAGCATTTTTATTTTCATCGTTTTTCAGCCCACGGTGGCATCTGGGCTCCCTCTAGCGGCCAGCCGGTGGCATCTGGGCTCCCTCTAGCGGCCAGCCGGTGGCATCTGGGCTCCCTCTAGCGGCCAGCCGGTGGCATCTGGGCTCCCTCTAGTGGTCAGCCGGAGGCATCTGGGCTCCCTCTAGTGGTCAGTTATGTAAGTGCGGTAGCTCTGATGAATGGGGTCAGGGGAGTGACGTTTGGCCAGAACCAGCCATTCACAGCTCTGCCTGAACACTAATCCTGCCTGTTGGCAAGAACAATGTGGCTGGGTGTCTGTGATTACAGGAAATGGGGGCTAAGCATCTTTCTTGTAGGAAGTATTAACAGTAAATTGTTTTCAGGAAACGGGTCAGCCTTAAACCTGAAGAATAATCTGCTAATAATTTGCCTTCCCTGGTTTCTTCTTTTCCTCAGCAACATGCTAATCGTATGAACATCAAATCTTTCTCGTTTTCATTGCATACTTTGTCTTTCTTTGCACTTGCAGATCATGGCTGGTGGGAGGGGCCAGCGGGGTGCTGTACATAGCTTACTGAACACATCACAGCACCCTGCCTCAGTACTCTGCTCAAGAGCCCTCAGCCCTGATGCAAGCAGTGGGCTGGCTCTTGGGAGGAGTTATGCAAATATCAGAAGGCCTTGATGGATGGGTGTCAGTCCGGCGGAGTGGGCGTTCCCTGGCAGGCTGTATTTGCATGCCGAATGCCCGATGTGATGCTCTGCCTCTATGATTTAAATAAATTAAATTCAATGAATGGAAGAGGCTGGGCAGGGACTGGGGGGATAGCGCTAGATGATGCTGGATGTCCTCGAGCCAGGAAGGGGGCGGGCTCTCTCTGACTTGCTGCAGCTTCTAATGCACATGGTGAGGAGCTCCCGGTGAGATCAGAGTAATACAGGATTGAATACTTCTATTTCTTCAGTTTTCCACTCATGTTTTTGCTGGAAGTTCTCACTGACTGGACGTTGTTTCTTGTTCTCTTCTCAGGCATTTGCCGGCTACTACAAAGGCGGGTTTGAACCCAAAATGACTAAAAGGGAGGCCACACTGGTGCTGGGAGTCAGGTAAGGACAGAGCCGGATCCTCAGTGTATACAGATTGTCTCATTCTCGCTGTCTTCCACCCACCTTCTCTCTGTTATTAGAGTGACATGCACAGCACACAATGTACTAACATAGGCGGTCCTTGTCCAAGAGGTTTCACTAAGCCAGACCCAGGCCAGGCCCACTGGGGTAAATTGTACTTATTAAAGCTGACCTCCGTCCTTCCCTTCAGTCTTCTATCTGACCTCCGTCCTTCCCTTCAGTCTTCTATCTGACCTCCGTCCTTCCCTTCAGTCTTCTATCTGACCTCCGTCCTTCCCTTCAGTCTTCTATCTGACCTCCGTCCTTCCCTTCAGTCTTCTATCTGACCTCCGTCCTTCCCTTCAGTCTTCTATCTGACCTCCGTCCTTCCCTTCAGTCTTCTATAATGCACAGCACACAATGTACTAACATAGGCGGTCCTTGTCCAAGAGGTTTCACTAAGCCAGACCCAGGCCAGGCCCACTGGGGTAAATTGTACTTATTAAAGCTGACCTCCGTCCTTCCCTTCAGTCTTCTATCTGACCTCCGTCCTTCCCTTCAGTCTTGGGATGCTCCGATACAGAGTATTTGGGCCAGTACTCGCATAAATGCTCTGATACCAGACTCCTAGTCAGAAGGAGATCTCCTTCTGACCACAAGTGTCGAGGGAGTAGGGTGCCGGCTTCCTTTCCAATCAGGAATTTGGGCAGTGGGTTATGTCCCGGCTTCCTAATTGCCTAGGAAGCCGGCTTCATGTGTTGCTAAGCAGCCCGGCTTCCTAACCAATCAGGAAGCCGGGCGGCACATAATGACCCGCCTCTCGGCTTCCTGACTGGTCAGGAAGCCAGGCTGCCTAGGAACAAGTAAAGATGGCTTCTTAGCCAATCAGGAAGCCGGATGGCACCTCATGACTCACCACCCGGCTTCCTGATTGGTCAGGCAGCCTCAGATGTCAGTGTTCTTTCACTAGAACGCCAGCCTCACAGGCAACCAGGAAGCCGGGCGACTGCTCATGATCCACCGCCTGACTTCCTGATAATCTGGGTACACGGCACCGGTTCTCGGTATTGTCGAGTACCGGGGAAAAAATATCGGCACTCGATACCGAAAAATGGTATCTGTGCATCCCTGCTAGGAACGCCCACTCCTCCGGACTGATGGGAAGGCCGGAGTTCTGCTTAAATATGTCTCTAGTCTAGAAGTCTCTGTAGAGAGCGTTGGTCCATTTACACTGCCCGCCGCCGCCGCCTTCCCTCCACACTGGTAATTCGGAGGTGGTGGTAGGTGATGGAATGAGGGGGAGGGGTGACCTGGTTAACATAACCCGTGACTCTCTTTGTCAGCCAAGAGATTAGAAGAATCTTGTAAATCCTAAAACTATTCAAATCAAATCTAAACTCCGGGCCGTGGGCTGCCGGCACATAAGGGAGCTGTGTCACCTGCAAAAGGATTTGTATTTCTGTCTATCCAGTCCTGAGATTTACACAGCTCTGCACAGCCGGGCTGGTGACCTGATATATCGCTGCTGCAGCTATGCAATACGGCATGGTCGCCTTCCCCACTCCTAGCCTTGTGGCTGGACAGTGAAGGAGCAGCAGCAGACTGATGAGATCTACTCTCTGCTCCTGCCAGCACAGGTCAGCTCAGTAGATCGGGAGATGAGCGAACACATACCGGCGTTCGCTCACCTCTCAATCCTGTCACGGCTGGATTCCCCCCTCCCCGCTCCGATCCGCCAGCGCTGACTGGCGGAACGCACGGGGGAGGGGGCGGGTACAGCTGGCTATGCCTCTAGAAAGGCAGAGCCAGCTGTCACTCACGCAGCTGGGCGGATCCCGACATCGATGTCGGGATCCGCTTCGGCTGCGGCGTCTCAGTATACCGCGAGCTGTAGCTCTCTATACACTGAGCGTAGGGTGACGGGAGGACGCTAGTTTGTGTCCTCCTGTTACCCTAAGGAGAACTATGGGGAAAAACACCGACCCCATAGTTCTCCTTTTAACAGTTGCTTTCTGCGGAGCTGTATTTTTTGTAATTGATGTCTGAGCCGAATAAAGTTAGATTAGAGTGCACGTGCAAAGTGGGCGCTTATGATTGGCGCGCACAGGCCTGCATTGTGTAGTGGGCGGGGTTTAAAGGTGACTGGATGTCGTCGCTACCCCGCTCTTCAATCATCAAATGTATTGTCCCTGATATCTGCGCTGCGTTGGCCTCCACTCGATCTGTTTGGTTGGAGCGTCTCTTTAAACCGTTACCCGTCTTTCTATAAAGTGTTGATCCAGACCTGTTTTTGTTGCAGCCCGACCGCAAATAAGACAAAGATCAGAGAGGCTCACAGACGGATTATGGTGCTGAACCATCCCGACAAAGGTAAAGAAACGTCTCCTGTCCGGGTCACCTATCGGGGTTCACATGGCTGCTCTAGTTCTCTAGGACCTTCGTGCACCTTGCAAGTCATTTTCTTGTGACAGGTCCTCTTTATGGAGACAAAAACGTGATCGCCTGGCACATTCAATAATTATGGTGATACCTCCTTTTTTTTAGGGCTTGTTCACACGGGTGTGCAGGGACCTGCTCCTGGGAGTGCAATTGCATGCAGCCGCCTGTACCTCGCTATGGGAGGATGTGGTTATACGCGGCTACATGCCAACCCAAACCTGCACATCCGTGTAGGTCTGGGTGGCCACACTTGGATGCACTGAAGCGTGAGGACCTGGACCTGTGGTGTAACCCCGGCGTGTAACCACGTGCAGCCTCCTCCTCCCATAGGGACATATAGGTGGCTGCATGCAATCACATGACAGCGCCTGTTTCTTTTCGGGGGGCAGGTCCCTGCACGGCCCCCGTGTGAATGACCCCTTAATGTCCCACATCACCTGACTACATTAACCTGTTCCTTCTCCTCGCAGGCGGATCTCCATATATCGCAGCCAAAATTAATGAAGCCAAGGATCTGCTGGAAGGACAGGCGAAGAAATAGCTCAACGCTCTGAACTCTTTCTTATTCTTACCGGGAAGAATGTGATTTCTCGGTGGTGGGCTATTCTTTACCAATAAATCCTCGGAACTCTACATCTCATTCATCATATGACGGAAGATCGCGCGTTCTTATTGCCGGGTCAGGTCAGAATGTCACCCAAGGCTTTCATTCGTTTCCCCCATCCAGGGAAAGTGAAACCACCAGCGAGCCCTGAATATAGAATGGACATAATAAACATGGAGCCGGATTCCAGGGCAGTCGGCATGGAGCCGGATTCCAGGGCAGTCGGCACGGAGCCGGATTCCAGGCCCGTCGGCACGGAGCCGGATTCCAGGCCCGTCGGCACGGAGCCGGATTCCAGGCCCAGATTGCTCGGGAAGCCGGCTCCATGCTAGCGCAAGTACTAGCAGGGAAGTTGTTTGCCCCGAACTGTCAGGTACACTATATGGCCAAAAGTTTGTAGACACCTGACCATCACTCCTCTGTGGGCATGTTGGACTTTCCATTCCAAAACCCCGGCCATTAAAGTGTATGTGAACCTTCACCCTGTAGATTGACTTATCCCATAAAAAAAAAAAAACTATTTCAGCAAATGTGGATAAATGAACCCAAAAAGTTCCCAAATACCCTTTTCTTATCTTTTAAAAGCGGTCACATGACCACTATTGAGGACGGTATCCCCGGTCTCCGACTGGTGGGGGCGAAGGTCCTTTATGGAGCTGGCTTTGCACACGGGGGTCAGTCACGGTGGAACAGAAAAGGGTCTTCACCAAACTGTGACCACAAGGTTGGAAGAGCACGATTGTCTTTGTATGTTGTCGCGTTGACAACCCTTCACTGGAGACACCTGAACTCAATCATCTGGAGGGGGGTCCATCAGGGGCGTAACTAGAAATCACAGGGCACCATAGCAAAATTTGGGGTCTCAGAGTGACCCTGCAGAGCCCACCATAGAACCGACTCAGCAGCGGCTGTGAGAAGGAACGGAGCGTTCCTCCTCACAGCCGCCAGTGACAGCCAGCAGCCTGGCTGTCCGAGCAAGATGCCATAGCGACCCAGGCGGCCCGCACGCCATCAGGGAGATGTCCTGGCCGGGCCCCATAGCGGCCACCTGGGTCGCTATGGTGATTGTTACGCCACTGGGGTCCATATACCATACATAGGCCGTCATTTGACTTTTTATCCTCCGTGCTGCTATACTTCCTTAGCGTGTCATGGCCAAGCTAAAGGAGAAAAAAAACTGAGCAAACATGGCTGCCTCATTACAGACTGTAGTCACACATGTACACACATCGGGAAGACTCTTTACATTGATGATCACATGTGCTGTATATGTGAAGAATTCGTAAACACTTCCGGCGCCCTTTAATCAGCTGCTCTGTTGCTGAATGTATTCTTAATGACTCCGGGTCAGGTTTCCAGTGGAAAATTCCTTTTGTGTATGTCATACTTCATCTGGGTGATGTCCTTGACCATATGTCCAAAATTCCATACCGGCCCCATACATAGGATATCTCTGTGTACAGAACCACCGTGAGCTGCGATCCCCCAACTGTAGAGGAACTACAAGTAGCAGCTTTGCTTTGGCAGTAGACCAGGGACGGGCAACTCCGGCCCTCCAGCTGTTGCGGAACTACAAGTCCCATGAGGCATTGCGAGATTGATAGTTACAGGCGTGACTCCCAGAGGCAGAGGCATGTTGGGATGAAAAGCACTCGCCTCATAGTTCTCCTTTAACCCCAGGAGACTAGGATCTGAGATGAATACGCAATGTACATGCGTCCACACAGAATTAGACGCCTTCAGCGGATCCAATGTGCCACTGGAAGCACCGATTTCTATTCTAAACTGAAAATATCTGAATGCAAGTAGAGATCACAGTGTGCGTTATGCACATATCGCCCGAAAACGGCACTTTCGGCATAATGCCAAACGATACATCGGCACATCCCAGGTTTCTTTCCTCCCCGCTGGGCGCTGCTCTGTGTCCCAGCGGGGAGAAGAGAAAGTGACAGCCGGCCGAGCGCTGCGGTTTAGAGCGCTGTGAGCGGCCGGTGTCTCTCCTCTCACACCGCTCAGCCGCCTATCACAGTCCGGCAGAGCGGTGTGGGGGCGGAGACATCGCTGTCACAGGAGGCTAAAAAATTTTTTATAAAAACATTTTCGGTTTTGGCCTGAAAATTAGTTTTGTTTCGGTTTTAAAATTTCCATTTCGGTGCACCTCTACTTAAAAGGAAATGTTCCTACAAAAATCGAGATTAGATACCTGATATAACGTGCAGCGTTTATGAGCCGGCTCCTCGACAATCAATCCCGGGTGATCGTGAGTAACACGTTTAAGTTACAATTGTAATTCTGCCTGGACACCGTTCAATAGACTTGTGATCCAAGGATCGGGAAAACATCGTTAGATACTCTGCTGGCAAGCAGATTGGACACTTTATATATACCAGACAGATCAATGATGGGGGATGAGTCCATCTGCGTCCTACATCTATGCTGTGTATATAAAAAGACACCAAAAGAGACAATCCAAAGACCGTCTCTGAACTTACGTTTATAATCTACGACAGGCGAACATTTAAAAAAAACTGAGATAACGTTATTTCACGTACAAACCGAGATATGGTTATCTCTCTATGAACTTGCTTGATAAGGGTGCCCACACACCTTACGATAATCGCGTGGAAATCCCGCGATCGTACGATTATCGTAAGGTGTGTGGAAGCCGCGCGACCTCTACTCTACTACTCGCACGACTTTAAACTTCTGAACATGTTCGAAAACCCGCCGAGCATCGTACGATGTTCGGCGGGTGTGTAGCATGTCCGTAAGATAAAAGCCGGACGGGCTGTTCGGCTTTTATCTTCGGCATTGCAGTCATCGGAAGCCCGCCCCTCAGGGGGGCGCGGCTTGCGATCATCACAAGTACGATCTGCCTGTCCAAGATGGGCAGATCGTACGTTTTTTTAAGTACCTTACAACCATCGCAAGACAAAAGTCTTGCGATGGTTGTAAGGTGTGTGCCCAGCATAATACAGTTATAGGCAGTTCACAATCCCATTCACTGGGTTCTTTCTGCGTACAACGCCCAGAATAATAGATTGGCTAAAACCAGTGAAGGAAATACACACCAATGTGTATCAAGTCTCCATGTGACTGATGGGCAGAATGATCCATGGTGATACTGTGTATATGTTGGATGGTGGAAATAAGTCTAACCAATTGGGTATGAATGTGGTTGTACAGGAATGAAGAGACAACGTTGTCTATTTTAAGGCGCTGTTTTGGAGTTGGTGCAATATTTTTTCATGCATAGTTCACTTATCATTAAAGGAGAACTATGAGGGGGGGTGCTTTAAGCGCTGCTTGGGGCAAGCAGAGCTAAATGTACAGCGGGGAAGCCGCCGCTTGTTTTGTACAGGTGATCCCAGCGATGTCGATGAGATCACTTGTATGCAGCCTGCAGGTCTGCCATTCCCCATGGGGGAGGGGAGCGCATTGGGGAACCTGGCCTTGGGGCAGCAGAGAGAGTAAATCCGGCCCTGGCTAGACCAATACCCCCCCCCCCCCCCACCCCCATATGTTCCTATTGGCCACTGAGGCCATCCGTCATAGTGATGGGTACATGTGAAAATCAGAAGGTGACGCTACCAGGAGGTGTGTCAAGTAGCATCTTCCAGAGGATCAGATGGAACGTGACAACCGGTCTTAAATGACGAAGGCCACGAAGTGAAATTCGTCGGATTTGCTCCCTTATTTACCTGTACATACCTTGAACCTGACTCCTAAGGCTAAGAAGTATATTTATGAGCAATCTACGGTGACCTGCAAGTACCTCTCAACGTTCATTGTGTGCAAATGTATGCAAAAACGAATGTAGCTTTTTTTTCTTTTTACGTGGAATGTCATTTTGAATGTGATGTAATATCACTTTATGGCCACTCGATGGAGCTAAAGGAGCATAGGAAATATGTATGGGACCACCTAGTGGCCATAATGTGTTATTACATCAAAAATGTTCACGTTTGTTGTCATATCACATTATGGCCACTAGAGGGTGCTGAGGAGCATGGGAAGAAAATAACATAAATTTTTGCACACATTCGCACAGAATAAACTTTCACAGATATTCACGGGTGGAAAGGGGCGAAGGATGGCCCTGCAAAATAATATAAATAAACCCCTTAGTGTCAGGGCTAAGAGGTCCGACAGTTGCTGCTCTGTCATGTGGTTAATGCCTGTTGTCTCAAAGCTCTTGAGTGTGCATGACAGTATCCAATAACAGAGCACTTGCTTACAAAATTCATAACTAAGCAAGACCATTATTACAGATAATGGGGCCCACAGCAAAAATGTGATGGGGGCCCCCCTGACCACCTCTCTCTGAGCTGTGAGTAACAATGCCAAATCCCAAAGCCTCCTCTTGTACACTGTAGACTTCACAGGGGATTGTCATCAACTGCAAGCACTCCAACCCTCAATGATAGAGCACTGCGTTATCTTCACATGCTCTATGTTTAATTTGCCTCAACAACCTCACGGGGCACCCCTTCCACCCCCCGGGTCCCATAGCACTTGCCTGGGCTGCTATGGCTATAGTCACACCATTCTAAGGGATTCTGTTATCTGATACTGTTATGAAAACTAAGGAGCTGGAGAGCAGCAGGACTCTGAGTTCAGGAGTCAAGCAAATATCTTTGATGAGCAGTACAAATACAATAATTAAATAGTCAGATTCCAGCAAAAGCTCAGTCGTGACCGGTTCTCTTTAGGTGTAGATATGAACATTTCCATCAAGACCAACCTACGCTGGCCTGTGGCAGGACATGAAAGAAAGCATACACGACAGAAGCAGCCACATTGTAGGGTGAACTTATAATCAGCCAATCAGTTTGCAAGGATCTAGTGACATCACTTTGGCAGTACCTTGTGTTACAGTCAGGCCCTTGGTCCCCCCCAAAGTACTGGCGGGCTGCAGTCTCTTGAACACGGGTCCAGCTCCACCCTTGCTTTCCACGAATGGCAGGTACGCTTTACATGGCCGGTGCCTTAGCTCCTAATCCTGACCCAGGATTGGTTGTAAACGCAGAAGGCGGCATGGAGGGGCTCCGTGAAGTGGGCAATGAAGGTGTGCAGGTGCCGGATGGTATCTCTGAGCTGGTAAAAGGAAAGCCGCCCGGCCTCGTAATCCAGATATATGCCCAGCCTCTGCACGGCCGATTCCGGGTACAAGGGGTTGATCTTCGAGTCGTGGATGGCCGAGTGGGTTTTGTCCGACATGCGCAGGCACCACGACTTCTTGTTGTAGCCGGTCACGGCCCGGTCCCCTTTCCGTTCTATGCTGGGATAGGCCAACCCCACCATCCAGTAACCGGACTCGCTGGTCTCCACCTCCCAGTAGTTCTGGCCCATGGTGAAAATCCGGGTGCTCAGAATGTGATAGTTCACGAACCTCTCGGGCGTCTTGGGGCGGCACTGCTTCGTCTCCGACCAGGAAGCCATTTTTAGATTCCGCGACACGGCCACGTAGTCCCCCGCCGTGTTCACGTCCAGGAGCATGTCCGAGGCCACCTGCATGTTGAAGCCGTGCTTCGACTTTAAACAGGTGACGATGTCCTTCAAGGCCGTGTGGAGGATCACCGAGATGAGTCCTTCGTCAAGGTCGCAGACGGGGTGAACTTTTTTGTCGTCCCTCTTTCGGTCCTCCTGTCCGTCCTCCTCGGGGTCGTAGCCGATGTTGTCTCTTCCTTGCAGGACGGTCAGAGGGTCGTTGATGCTGCACAGCTCTTCGATTTGGTGCATCTTCCTGGCCAGCTCCTCCTTCTCAATCTCCAGCTGTTGGATGAGGTGGGACACGTGTTGGGAGACTTGTTCTTCTTGGCTGGTGATCTCCTTCAGGACCTTCTTCTCCAAGACCTCCAGCTGGTCCCGCATTTCCATAAAAAGCAAGTTGACGCGTTCCGTGAGGGCCGCTGCGTTCTCCTCCACCTTCTGCTTGTGCTCCTGCAAACTCTGCACCCTCTTCTCCGTCTCTGCCGCCTTGGACGTCAACCTGGTCATGACCAGTTTCAGCTTCTCTTTCTTCTTCTTGGAGGCTTCATAGAGGAGCGCCACTTGGTGCCCACGGTGGTCTCCGAAGGCGCAGCAGGACACGCAAATGCATGCGGCGTCCTCGGGGCAGTAGTACTCCAGGAGCTTCTTGTGTATGGCACATTTTCGGTTCTCCAGGGACGTGGTGGGTTCGGTCAAGGTGTGCTCCACCAGCTTGCTGTGCGCCCGGAGGTGGACGTCACACAGCGAGGTCTCGCACTGCAGGCAGGTCTTGACCGCCGCCACGGGGGACTGGACGCAGTAGGTGCAGAATATCCCGGCTTGCTCTTGCATCGGTCGCGACGACAGGAAGCACTCAACGATGTTGCAGAGCTTCAAGTTCTTCTGCGGAGCGGGTCGGGACTGAAATTCCGCCCGGCATTCGGGACAGGTGAAGAGCCCATTTCCTTCCTGGGTGTCCAGGACCCGGCCGATGCAGACCCGGCAGAAGTTGTGACCGCAGTTCAGCATGGCGGGATCTGTATAAATGCTCAGACAGATGGAACAATTCAGCTCCTCTTTCAGCTCGGTTGAAGCCATTCTGATGGAAAGCAGCAGATGAAGCCGACAATAGAGGGGAGCGCTTTTCCTTCTCCGAGTCCGCTGTGTAGGGATCTCCCCCCGGAGAGAGAGAGACAGACACGCAAGTATACTGCGGAATAGAAGAAGAGTTGGTCTGCCCAGTCCCTGGCACCAGCCTGAACTGTGTGTGAACCCCCAATAGAGGAGCTTGTCTCAGTGCCTGGGAAAGTGTGCAAAGCCGCCTCTGATTGGTCCATGGGTTGATATGCAGGAGGCAGTCTGCAAGAATCGTGTAACTTGGGAGAATTGGGAGCGCAGGTTCATTTGAGTGCTTTAAAGTGGAACTAACAATGGAAATGATGTGTTTCCAAGGATATCACAGACATCGCGTTATATATATATTGCCTGTTATTAACATTAACCTCAGCAGGAGGTCTGAGCTGGAATGTGACCGCGCGGAGCAGCGCACACGTCCTTCCTTCTCTGACAGTCTATTGTGTATTAGAAGAATGGAGCTGACCATACACTGCCAGATGTCACTCCAATCCCCCATCCGTACTAAAGAGAGGAACCTCTGCTGCCCGATGTCGTGATTAGGCAGCCGGGACACATGCAATGTATGAATAACTGCACAGGGACTGCATCTGATTGGATGCATAACTCATTGTTCAGCCAAGAAAAAAAAGAGAGAGGGAGAGTGAGAGAAAGGGGGGAGAGAAGAGAGGCGGGGGAGAGAGAGGGAGGAGAGAGAAGGGGGGAGAAGGAGAGAGAAAGTGTGTGTGTGTGAGAGAGAGAGGGGCAGGAGAGAAAGTAGGGAGTGAGAGAGAAAGGGGAAAAGAAAGGGAGAGAGAGAGGAGAGCGGGCGTGAGAGAGAGGGGGGATAGGAGGAGAGAGGGAGAGAAGAGGAGAGAGAGGAAAGAGGGGGGACAGAGGGTGAGAGAAGGGAGAGTAAGATTAGGGTTGCCACCTGTCCAGGATTCACCCGGACAGTCCAGGTCTTGAATGCTGTGTTCGGTTCTCATGTCAGCAGAAACCCGGACACAAGATGTCAGGCAGACAGGGGCCACCGAGATTAAGATAGAGGCTACTGGCCCGCCACTGAAAATAGTCTCAACTGTGATATTTATATATGACTAAGCCACGACTCATTCTCCCCCCAAATATTCAGTGCGTGGCTAGAGTGTTCCGGTTTCGCTGGAAGAAAAGGTGGCAACCCTAAGTAAGATAGAGAAGTGTGTTAGTGAGGGAGAGTGGGGGGAGAGAAAGAGAGAGAGAGCATGAGAGAAGTGGATAAGATAGAGAGAGGGGGAGAGAGACAGAAGAGAGGGGGAGAGAGAGAGCGAGAGGAGGGGGGAAGAGAGAGAAGGGGGGGAAGAGGAGGGGGGGAGGGAAGGGGGGGGAGAAAAGGGGAGAAAGGAGACAAATGGAGTGACGGATGGAGAGAGGGGGAGGGAATGATCAGTTAGAGAATGTGGGAGGATGAGAAGATGTAAATATAGATGGAAGGAGAGGAGAAGGTGTAAGGACACATTGCAGAACAGGCAACAAAAGTTCATTCAGCATTTGTTCCGATGCAGCACACACATGGTAGTGCGGTAACGCATGTTGTGGTGCGCTACAATGCATGTTGTGTGTTGTGGCTGCGTTGCCTTAGTGCATCGGGATACAAATCAGAGAAGCCGACTGAGAGAGAGAGAGAAGAATAGACCAAGAAGTGAAGCGGGCGACAGAGGGACAATGGTGAAAAGAGAGAGAGAGAATGGGAGATGAAGAGAGAGAGAGAAACATGAAAGAGGGAGAGAGAGAGAGAGAGATAGACATAGGGGGGGAAATGACATAAGACAGCAGAACAGAGGACAGGATGGGAGGTCGGGGGAGAGGAAGGACACATGGAGGACACATGGAGGTTCTCTTACTAATATCTAGAAATGTATCCAGCAAAGAGTAACAACAGTTCATAAATGGCCCCCAATGATACATTGGACATAAAGGAAGAGACGGGAGGGAGACAACAGTTTACACACCATCTGCAAAGAGCTCAACATACATCTATTTGCATAGCTCCCCCCAAGAGCCCGCCCACTGCTTACATCAGCAATGAAGGTTCTTGAGAGGAGAACTGAGGCAGGGTGCTGTGATGTTTTCAGGAAGTTATGTACAGCACCCTGCCAGCTCCTTCCTCCAGCCATGATCTGCCTGCATTGCATAGAGAAGCAGCAGAGAGACCCAATGATGACATCACTGGATCTAAAGTGAGCTAATATGTAATGAAAATGGAAAGGTTTTTTTTAATCAGCAGATTGATGGGGGCGGGGGGAGGGGTGGGCAGGAAAGGGAAATTATTAGCAGTTCAAACCTCAGCCTAGAACTCCAGCCAATACTGTCAGTAGGAGAGAAAGTATGAAGAAATCTCTGCTGTGGGCAGCAATAAAAACCTGAGAGGACCTCTGAACTTTCCATGCTCCGCCCTGATCTAAAAAAGAACATTTTGGGCTTTAGATACAATGTCATTATTGGAATATCTACATGATGTATTGTGCACTGGAAGCTCCTCCTAGGTGCAGTTTAGGTGCATTGATGGAGGTGCAGACAGCTCTGTATTAAAGTGACCCTGTCACATGCAGTCATTAAATGTATCAGGCAGGAATGTACCTGGGAGGAATCCTTACCTCTCCCGCTGCCGGCACCCCTGAAGACGTCTCCATTTGTCAGAAATCGTCCCCCAGTCAGTCAGGTGGGGGGCTGTTCTGGACCACAAGACAGGTAAGTCTTCTCTTTTCCCCTCACAGGTACGTCTTTGCTTGATACATTTTACTTTTGTATCCGGGTCTCCTCCAGAAGACAGTTCTGTGTTTCGCATTGATTTCACGGCTCCTCTGTTCTCTGTGTGTAACAGCGAGATGCAAAACGCACACATCATTTCCCCGGCTTGTTGGCACCGAGGCGTGAACTGCCCTTCTTATTGATTTAGGAAACCTCAAACACTTCAGGACAAGAGTACGAATGCTCGAGCAAATAGAAGGATCTGTTATTTCCAACTTTACTGTAATGTAGACAAGTTAAGGGAGAACTATGGGGTCAGTGCTTTCCCCCATAGTTCTCCTTAGGGTAACGGGAGGACACAAACTAGCATCACCCTAGGCTCAGTATACTGCGAGCTGCTGCTCGCGGTATACTGAGACGCCGCAGCTGAAACGGATCCTGACAATTATGTCTGGATCCGCCCAGCTGTGTGAGTGACAGCTGGCTCTGTCTATCTAGAGGCAGAGCCAGCTGTACCCGCCCCAGTCCATTCCGCCAGTCAGCGCTGGAGGATCAGAGAGGGGAGGGGGGGAATCCCTGCAGGGAGCCGTGAGTGACAGTCACCTCTCTCTGCAGGGATAGATCGAGAAGTGAGCGAACGCCGGTATGTGAGAAGTTCGGGGGGACCCGGGATCCCGTTGTGAGAAGTTCGGGGGGACCCAGGATCCCAGTGTGAGATGTTCGGGGGGACCCGGGATCCCCGTGTGACAAGTTCGGGGGGACCCGGGATCCCGGTGTGAGAAGTTCGGGGAGACCCGGGATCCCGGCGTGAGAAGTTCGGGGGACCCGGGATCCCGGTGTGAGGTGTTCGGGGAGACCCGGGATCCCGGCGTGAGAAGTTCGGGGGACCCGGGATCCCGGTGTGAGGTGTTCGGGGAGACCCGGGATCCCGGCGTGAGAAGTTCGGGGGACCCGGGATCCCGGTGTGAGGTGTTCGGGGAGACCCGGGATCCCGGCGTGAGAAGTTCGGGGGACCCGGGATCCCGGTGTGAGGTGTTCGGGGAGACCCGGGATCCCGGCGTGAGAAGTTCGGGGGACCCGGGATCCCGGTGTGAGGTGTTCGGGGAGACCCGGGATCCCGGCGTGAGAAGTTCGGGGGACCCGGGATCCCGGTGTGAGGTGTTCGGGGAGACCCGGGATCCCGGCGTGAGAAGTTCGGGGGACCCGGGATCCCGGTGTGAGATGTTCGGGGGGACCCGGGATCCCGTTGTGAGAAGTTCGGGGGGACCCGGGATCCCAGTGTGAGATGTTCGGGGGGACCCAGGATCCCAGTGTGAGATGTTCGGGGAGACCCGGGATCCCGGTGTGAGAAGTTCGGGGGACCTGGGATCCCGGTGTGAGAAGTTCGGGGGGACCCGGGATCCCGGTGTGAGATGTTCGGGGAGACCCGGGATCCCGGTGTGAGATGTTCGGGGAGACCCGGGATCCCGGTGTGAGATGTTCGGGGAGACCCGGGATCCCGATGTGAGATGTTCGGGGAGACCCGGGATCCCGGTGTGATTAAGTTCCTGAACCGAGGTACCACTGTAACACCGCATGGAGTGCAACACTTGATGAGACCTGCGACGTCTCTGGTAAAGTTCTAACAAAAATAAGTAAACAATGCGATTCACCGGAATCGGCGCTGTTACCTGTCGGTAACAGTGCGAGCAGTGCAGCGCACTGAGTAACCATTGCTCAATCTAAACACCATTGTACAGGGGTTGTACAATCAGATTGCAATGTGTGTGGCCAGGGAACATTATCACAAATCACTAATTAAAATCATTAAATGCAACTTGCAAAAAAAAACAAACAAAAAGATGTATTAATGTTGATGATCATTTCCACGATTTAAAAAGAAAAACGAAAACCAGGACCACTTCCAGCTGTTCTCACATCAATCACATCTGTGACACCTCCCTCCGCCCCAGGGAAGGTGTTGTCACTGTAATTCACAGAGCCAAGCACAACTTCTGCAGCCGCACCAGATGCCTCCCCTCCGCGAATTCCCTCCGGCGCTGCACGGGTTAACCTGGTGGGACCGGCCGCTGTGGGCACGTAGGCTTCTCGCCTGGACTGTACCATTGGACTAGAAATGGGGGGGGGGAGGTTGTGGGTTCGGTCTTCATCCTTCACAATCACCGCTCTTCTAAATGGCTTTGTTAATCAGACCGGGGGAGATTATTGTGAAGGGGTTGAGGGGGGGGCAGTTCAGGGTGTGAGATTCCAGGAGAGGAAGATTTGGGATTGGGTCCCCCCCCTATGAGGTCAGCGGATGGGCACGTCCTGTGTTCGGGGTGCAGAGCCGCTCATTGTGGCCGGTGTTCTGGGGGAGGTAAGTCGGAGATCTGATTGTTACATTGTATGTGTGTGTGATCGGTGATCGGATACAATGTTTCCGGTCGGGCTGCGTCTATAAACAGATCGCGGGGTGATTGTGCGTCAGCGGTGGGGGCAGAAATGGCCCCCGGGGGGTTGTTATCTTCACATCTGGGCTCGGGGTGCCTGCGATCTCCTTTACATACAGAGCTCCGATTCGTCTGATTGGATGGATCGGTCAGCTTTCTAATCCTGTTCTGGTAGCTCTAAAGATGATTGTACAATCAGATTGTGTAGTCAGGTCATGGTGGATCCCGATCGTGCTCGTTTTATAAATGGCTTTACATTCATAATGAGATGAGGGTCACATAGACATCAAAGCTTCCAGTGGGTGTGTATTTGGGGCAATTGTTTGTACAGATGGTGACATAGATGTGCGGAAAGATTCCACGTCCGCAGATCGATTTATCTGTTGCAAAGGTTCCGTTATTATACAATGGCACATATTTCTTAGAGCCAAGCCTGCAGTCCAGGGGCCACATGTGGCTCTGACCATCTCCTGTACCATGTCCGCAGTCCCTGACCATCTCCCGTACCATGTGTGCAGTCCCTGACCATCTACCGTACCATGTGTGCAGTCCCTGACCATCTACCGTACCATGTGTGCAGTCCCTGACCATCTACCGTACCATGTGTGCAGTCCCTGACCATCTCCCGTACCATGTGTGCAGTCCCTGACCATGTAACGTACCATGTGTGCAGTCCCTGACCATGTAACGTACCATGTGTGCAGTCCCTGACCATCTCCCGTACCATGTGTGCAGTCCCTGACCATGTAACGTACCATGTGTGCAGTCCCTGACCGTCTACCGTACCGTGTCCGCAGTCTCTGACCGTCTCCTGTAGCGTGTCCGCAGTCTCTGACCATCCTGAGAAATGCAGCCACTGCTGGAGTGCATGTAGACAGGAATTGGCTGAAAAGAGGCCGCGGTGGATCAGCAGCTCTGAGAGGGGACAAAGGATGAAGAAAGGTATTTCATGAATATAATGACGAGTGTTTGTGACGCGCGGAGCGACTGAATCTACTTCAAGTCACCGCCATGAACTCTGACCTCGGCTGGGACTTTCCTGATCCGTCTGCTTGTTCTCGGTCAGTATCTCAGAAAGTGCTGAAGCCAGAGGATCGGGATCACAGCATTTCCAGGAGGTGCAGAAATCACACCCGGGGGTGGTGGTGCTCGGGCAAAGTGTACAGAGCCAATCAGAGCGGCTTTGGGTCATGTGATCTCTGTGAACCAATCATTGTAATTACAAGTGTAAACTCTGCCGGCCCTCCCCGTCCTCTCAGGGGGATCGGCAGCAGCAGAGTCGAGGTCGGTCGATTTAACATTTCACTGACCAGCGGTCCGAGGCCTGTTGGCGGGGGTGGAGGAGCAGCGGGCAGCTCGAGGCTGACAGGTAAGAGGAGTGCAGAGAAAGGGACCCCTGACCAGCCCACCTGAGACCCAGCAGAGAGAGTCTATGTTGGGCTCTGCAGGGTCACTCTCTTTTGGGCAGTTCCTATGGGGCCATGTGATTTTTAGTTACGCCCCTGTGTCCCTCATATGGAACCAGATCCCTCTGATCCCCATCGCCACCCACTGCCCCCCTTATTGGGGTGATGAATATACACCAGCCAGTTGGCGATTTGCTGCACACAATACACATGAGCTGGTGAATATTAATTCACCTGTTCTATGTAACGGCGCAGGGGGG